CCCTAGAATATACCTCCCTTCCTCATTTTTGTTCAAGGAGTTATAGAAGATGGATTTAGTTCTAATTCACATGCTTTTTTTTTTTTTTTTTTTTTGGCAGAACCGGGGATTGAACTCAGGTCCTTGCGCTTGCCAGGGAAGCACTTATTCCACTGAGCCATCTTCCCAGCTCACATGCATTTTCTAGTTGTATTTGTTTTTTAGCTTTTGTTACATGTTTAAGAAAGTTTACTTGAGTTTGGTTTGAGGAGTAGACTTTCCATGGCAGTGTACCTGTGCTTCTTACCTCAACAGAAAATTCTTTTTTTTTTTTTCTTCCTGGTAGTGGATATTGTATCTAAGGCTTTTGCACTAAGCTATGTACCCAGTCCTCTTGAAATTTTTTTGAGGGTCTTGCTGTTTCCCACCCTGGGCTGTATGTTACAGTCTTCCTTCTTAGCATTCCAGAGTGCTGGAATTGCAGGCGTGTCCCATCACACCTGGCTCCAAGAGTGAACACTTGGGGGCCCACCTATGGGTCTGGAGTCTCACTCACTGTAGCCCAGCACCTCTGCATTAACCTTTAGCCCATTTCCCAGGGATGAGAGAGACTTTCTTCTTTTTGCCATCCATCATGTTTCAAGCCATTTATCACTTTCCTTTCCCAGTCCTCAGTTCTGCTGGGGTTCACTGAGGGCAGCATCCTATTGGATGAGCAGAAGTAGGCACAGGTTCTAGTGTCTCTCACTGTGCATCATGTGGGGACCCTGGATCAGTGGTGGTGAACCTGTGGCACATGAGCTGTAGCTGACTGTTAACACTGAAAGCTCTAAAAGGTTCACCATCACTGCACTAGAATAATGGTGTTGGTTGTTCTAATGTTAAGGTTCACAGTCTTCTCTTCTGTGCAGGATGCCATCCTGTTCTATATCCCCCAGATCGTGCAGGCCCTCAGGTATGACAAGGTAAGGCTGTGCTGACAAAAGCTGTCTACTTCTTCTTCTTCTTCTTTTTTTTTTTTTTTTTTTTT